GGGAGGAGAGGTGAGGGGTCTCCTTAGCCACCCGACACCATCTCAATTCAGTTCAATTGTGAACCACTAGGAGAAACAGAATTAAATAACTATCAACGGGTACAGAGTTAAGATTTCCAGCCTTCTCTCTTGGGGAAAACTAAGGCAAAGTAATACTGAGAAAAAGTGGAGGAAGCCACACCTTCAGGTCACTCCAATGAGAAGACTGGAGGGGAGAGAGGAAAGAATTCCACGCAGACACAGCAAGTAAGCGTGGCTTGTAAACCTGGGACTTTGGCAGGTGGGGCTGGGAGCTGGTGGAATTTGTAAACCAGGCTGTGGTCAAGGAGGAGGCAGGAGCTGTAAACAAAGGGGCAGTGACCTAGGAAATGAGGGAGATGTGCCTATAAATGGAGTGGGCTCTGGGCCTCGAGAGAGATGAGTGCTTAAATCCCAAGAGTCCCCACGGGATGGTGGGGAGGAAGGCTGTGGGGAGAGTGTACCCTGCCATGGAGGGCAGGTGCTCCATCTCCACCCTCCAGGGAGTTCTGTGCTCTTTCTCAGCACTTGGCGCTCACTCTTAGATCACCCAGGATGTACCAGCACGTTTAACCCCACCCACACCAGGGACTTTGGATTAGGGTAGAAATTGGGCAATTGGCTCTGCCCCCAGAAACAGGGTGGGGAAAGCAAGTTACAAGATGTTGGTTGTTGCCCTTCCCTGCCAGGCTCATTATCAGGGTCTGCCTGCCCTGAATCTTCCGGGATCCAGGATCTTCAGTTATAAGAAGGAAGGAGGTATATCCCTATGTTGAAGATGGTCACCGCCGGCAGGACTCATCTGTGGGAGAGGGGGCAATAATGACAGAGAATGAGTGAGAGCCTCTGCCTTCTGCCCACCCTTCCGCCACACACAAATTGAAGGGCAGTTGGCATGCAGGAAGTCCTATAATATCTTCCACATCCAAAGCACGTTACCATCAGTAACCACATCCATCACTCATTTAGCTCGGATTCTATGGCAAGCATCCTCATAACTGTTTAATGTCACCATAACTCCAGGAGAGATTAAGTAATTTGATATCCAGCTGTGGCTCTTGGTGCTTCACAAAAACTACTTAATCTTGGCCTGGAGCCCCTGTAATCTGAGCAATTTAGGAGGCTGAGGCAGGAGGATCACTTGAAGTCAGGAGTTCAAGACCAGCCTGGCCAACATGGGGGAACCCTGTCTCTACTAAAAATATAAAAACTAGCCAGGTGTGATGGTACACATCTGTAATCCTAGCTACTTGAGAGACTGAGGCATGAGAATCGCTTGAACTTGGGAGGCAGAGGTTGCAGTGAGCCGAGATTGTGCCACTGCACTCCAGTCTGGGCGACAGAGGGAGACGCTGTCTCAAAATAAATAAATAAATTAATTAATTAAATTAAATAAATTACTTAATATTTTCTACAACTCTAGGAGGTAGTTTTTGGTTTCTGTTTTTTTGAGACGGAATTTCACTCTGTAGCCCAGGTGGGAGTGCAGTGGCATCATTTCGGCTCACTGCAACCTCTGCTTCCCAGCTTCAAGTGATTCTCCTGCCTCAGACTCCCAAGTAGCAGGGACTGCAGGTGTCCACCTCCATGCCTAGCTAATTTTTGTATTTTTAGTAGAGATGGGTTTTCACTATGTTGGCCAGGCCAGTCTTGAACTTCTGACCTTGAGTGATCCACCTGCCTCAGCCTCCCAAAGTGCTGGAATTACAGGCGTGAGCCACCGTGTCTGGCCTGTTTGTTTCTTTTGAGACAGGGTCTTCCTCTATTGCCCAGGCTGGAGTGCAGTGGGTGGTGCAATATCGGCTCACTGCAGCCTCCAACTTCTGAGGTCAAACGATCCTCCCACCTCAGCCTCCCAAGTAGCTGGAACCACAGCTGTGCACTGCCACACCTGGCTAATTATTTTATTTTTATTTATTTATTTTTTTTAGAGATGGAGTCTCGCTCTGTTGTCCAGGCTGGAGTGCAGTGGGGTGATCTCGGCTCACTGCAAGCTCCGCCTCCCAGGTTCACACCATTCTCCTGCCTCAGCCTCCCAAGTAGCTGGGACTACAGGTGCCCACCACCACGCCCGGCTAATTTTTTTTTATTTTTAGTAGAGATGGAGTTTCACCGTGTTAGCCAGGATGGTCTCAGTCTCCTGACTTCATGATCTGCCCGCCTTGGCCTCTCAAAGTGCTGGGATTACAGGCGTGAGCCACCGTGCCTGGCCCACACCAGGATAATTTTTGTATTTTTTTGTAGAGACAGGATTTTGCCATGTTGCCCAGGGTGGTCTTGAACTCCTGGGCTCAAGCGATCCACCCGTCTTGGCTTCCCAAAGTGCTGGGATTACAGGCATGAGCCACAGGAGGTAGTTATTATTAACTTCATTTCATAAATAATAAACTAAAGCCAGATATCGGATGGTTTCCCTGAGATCACACAATTAAGAGACAAGCTGGAATTCCAACTCCGGCCTGTCGACCCACCCTGTGGTTTTGACCAGATTACAGTACTCAGGAAGAGTTCTCGTTTTGAAACTTGAAGACTCAGTGTGTACTTCACTGCCCGGGACCTCAGTTTGCCCATCTATTGAAGGAGCAGGTTGGACCAGAGGACCACCAAGCCCCTTCCAAGCGCCTTCATGCAATCCTCCCTCCTCTTCTCTCCTGGACCGCAGCGCCAGCTCTGACAGCAGGGGGCGCTCTCGAGCCGGCGGAGCCTGCGCTTACCCACAATCAGGGCCTTGGTGCGCAGCCCGCCCTGGAGCTCTGGCTGCAGCAGCAGCAGCTCTTCCTCATCCTCTTCGTCGTCGGGTTGGGCTGCTGGGGGGTTGGGGGCACTGGGGACCTCAGGCTCCGGGCCCAGCTCCTCCAGTACCGAACTCTCGGAGGGGTATTGGTACGTGGTCTCCAGGGCTGTCTCGCTGAAGGAGATCTTAAGCTGAAGGAGGGAGAAAAAGGGGGCAGGAGGCAAGGTCAGCAGGGGTGAGGCTCGTGGGGGTTGAGGGGGAGAAAGCGGGGGCGGGGGGGAAGTCTGCAAGGGAGCAGGTGGGGCGGGGGGAAGGTGGGGGTGGGGGTTGGACTTAGGCGCCCCCCCTCACTCTCTCCCATCCACTCTGGGATCCAGTTTTCCTTTACACACTGGCTTTCCAATCCTAGAGTTTCCCTCTTCGATCATATCATTTCAAAACATCAGACTTTGCCCTGTACGTTGGCAGGGGCTTGGGAGGCAGAAGTGAATAACATAAGACCAAGGTCCCTGCTCTTTCGAGTGTGGGAGGCAGAGGGGTAAAAAGAAATTAAAATACGTGGCGATTAGTCTTGTGATCAGAACCGAGTCTTTGGGCACCTTGGAGGCAATAGAGTAAACTTCCCAGAGGAGCCCAGCAGACTGGCCAGTGGGGAAAGAACTGGCTGGGGAGCCAGTCTCAACCAAAACCATGGTTTTCATACCCACAGCCCCTTGCTGTCCTATGCGAAACCCAGGAGCCTGGGCACCTGTTCCCTCCCACTCCCCTCATTCCTCTCCTATCCATAGCAAAGGGGGTCTAGGGCCTGGGAAGAGATGGGAGATGAATATAAAGGCCCAGAGGAACCAAGAGACTCCCACAACACACAGGGGAAAGATTAGCCGCTGACACCTTGAAAGGTTGGGGGAGATGACAAGGGCAGAAAGGAAAGTCCACACAAACCTGGGGTGGGGGCCCACAGTGTGCTCAAAGGTTCAGGCACAGAGACAAAATACCAGACAGGGCACAGAAAAATCACACTGTGCCAAAAGCAGGTGAGTCCCAGCTGTTCTCACTGCCTTTCTACCCTTCCCCTTTGCCCTCTTAAGAAGCTCAGGGGGAAGGGGCAGGGTGGGATTAAGTCTAGGAGCCAAAGGGATTAGGCAGACAGCAGGAGGATTCCATGTGGACTACTTGGAAAGGTCCAAATGATCTACTCAGGCCTTCCCTGGCATCTGTTTGGGAAGACTTGGGGCCAGTCGAACATCCCTGAGTCCCCTAATGGACTGAGGTATGAAAAGGGAGAAGCCAGAAGGGTGGCTGGGCAGGTGGTTGCTAAGAGCTGCTTCAGATATGACACCAGTCAGGCACGGTGGCTCACGCCTGTAATCCCAGCACTTTGGGAGGCTGAGGCAGAATTATTTCTCGAGCCCAGGAGTTGGAGACAAGCCTGGGCAATAGAGTGACACTGTCTCTAAAAAAGAAAAAAAAAAAATCAGATATGACACCTGGGTCCCCATGGGAAGGTGGAACTCGGGAACTGTGTATGTTACTCCTTGTTGGCTCCGAACCCCACATTGTGTCCCCATCTCACTTGGAGCAAAAAGTCTACTCGAGGCTGGGCGCGGTGGTTCATGCCCATAATCCCAGCATTTTGGGTGGCCGAGGCGGGCGGATCACAAAGTCAAGAGATTGAGACCATCCTGGTCAACATGGTGAAACCCGTCTCTACTAAAAATACAAAAAAATTAGCTGGGCACGGTGGCGTACGCCTGTAGTCCCAGCTACTCGGGAGGACAAGGCAGGAGAATCACTTGAACCCGGGAGGCGGAGGTTGCAGTGAGCCGAGATCATGCCAGTGCACTACAGCGTGGGCAACAGAGTGAGACTCCACCTCAAAAAAAAAAGTCTACTTGATTGCCCCAAAGGTGCCCAGAGCCTGACCAAAGCCTACAGGGTGCTCCCAATGTGCCACCCTCCCCTTGCCTCTCTGGCCTCTTCCTTCACTCCAGCCACACTGGCGTTGGTCCCTCCACGCACTCCCACCTCAGGACCAGAAAAGTACTAGCTATTCCTTCTGCCTAGAACACTCCCCGGAAATATCCCCATGGCTCTGACCCTCCTGATCACCCCATTTTGAAGTCTCCATATTCACTCCCCCTGCTTCCTGACCCTCTAAGTTCCACTGTTCTATTTTTTTTTTTCATAATCACTTACCACCTTCTAACTTCCTAGATAATTTACTAATTTATTATACTCGTGTCTGCTGTTGAAAGGAGCTTGGGGCCAGGTGAAGTGGCTCACACCTGTAATCCCAGCACTTTGGGAGGCCAAGACAGGTGGATTACTTGAGGTCAGGAGTTTGAGACCAGCCTGGCCAACATGGTGAAACCCCGTCTCTACTAAAAGTACTAAAATTAGCTGGGCTTGGTGGTGTGCGCCTGTAGTTCCAGATATTCAGGAGGCTGAGGATGGAGAATCACTTGAAGCCGGAAGGTGGAGGTTGTAGTGGGCCGAAATCTCACCATTGAACTCCAGGCTGGGAGAAAAAAAAAAAAAAGAAAAGAAAAAAGGAGCTTGAAAGTTGCTACAGTGCAAGAGTTTAGAGTTTGTTCAAACCTCAGATGAGGTGCCATCAGAGGACCAATGCTGGGGAAACAATCTGGGGGTGGTCCAGCCTGTATATATTTGACCCCCCAGTTCATGTCTGTGGAACTGCTGGTACAATCTAGTTACAGCAGCCAGACTGCTTATATCCCAAGTTCTCAGAAGCGACCACTTAGTTTCTGTTACTGACAGATTTACCCACATTTCTGGGAACCCATTTTTGTTTTCTTCTCATATCCTCTTTTGGAATAATAACCTCTGTACTTTATTAGCTATTCTGAAAAAGGACTTATTTTATCTGCTCTCGGTCTATGTTTATATCTCCCCCCTACCCTGCCTCTCTCCTCACCCCCCACCAGCTTCTGACTGGACTTCTCAGGAATGCACAGCCTGCATGGGAGTGGGGGGGCGGGTAGAGAGAGGGTGACTCACTGGCTCCTCTCCCATCAGCTATATAAGGTCACAATGGGGCTGGTCTCTCAGCCCAGGAGGCCTCTGGGGTAGGGCACCAGCCACAGCCATCCCCTGGGCTCCAGTGGCAGGGCTGGGATTTCTCTCCTGATGGCAGGGATAAGTTTGATGGACTTAGCCTGCAAACGAGTTATTTAGGGAAGGTGAAGCGGGGGTTGGTGGCAGGGTCCTCCTATCTCCTATTCCTGAGCCAGTGTGTTGCAGCAGAGCTGGGACAAGGCACCCAGTCCCTGAAGAGCAGGGTGCTGAGAGTGGGGAGAGGGTGGAGGGTGAGGCATCTGGGTCAGAAGAACTCTGTGCTGCCTCTTCCCCACCCCCACCCAAGCAGTGGCTGCTTCCTTATTCTCTCACCACATCCTGAGCACAGCTCTGGCAGGCCCAGAGCCCAGGGTTCCCCACTCAGCCCCACCAGCCTTCCGGCCCCCACCCCAGGCTTCCTGTTTGGGCGATCTGCTTCCGGCTCCCCTGCTCTCTGGCCTAGGTATGGTCACCAGCATGGGTCCTGCCCTGCACTTGCTTCCTGGCTCCCCTGGGATGCTCCCTGGGCTTTGGGTCCCAAAGCTTCATGCTTCCCTCTGCTCATTCTTCCCCAGAGGCACAAGCCTCTCTCAGTAGGAAGTGACTTTTCTGAACACCTCACCCGGGTAGCATTTCCGGACTTCTGTTTTTTTCATCTGCCCAGCCCTGAGGGGAACAGGATGGTAGCAGTCAGAGGGCTGAGGGTAGGTTCCCAAGCACCATGGCTCAGGGGTGTGAACTTACGCTTCATGTGAAGATGAACTGGGCAATCAAATGAACCCCCCTCCACCCCAGGCTTAACCCATATCTTTAGTCCCTGTGGTTCCCCACTGACACTGAGGACACAAAAAAATCAAATCTGAGGATGTTAACACATGGGATGAGAATGAGACTGGGCATCCCAGGCTCTGGGGAGATGTGTGTGACTGGAGGGACTTCCTAAGTCTGAGATGTCTGAGTATGGGACCTCTCTCTCCCCAGAGATTTTCAAGCTGGAAACAGGTGGGTGTGCACAGGGAAGAAATGAGGCCAGGGCCAGGGGGAGTTAGCCTAGCTGCCCCCACTTTCCTGCAGGTCTTTGTTGCAAGTCTAACCTCTGACCCTCTGCTGGCCTCAGCCCCGACCCCTGTCCAGAACTCCCACTATGCTCCCTGGCCAGTGCCTGCTCTCAAAACTGTCTCCAAATTCACTTCTCTCTTTCACTACCCTAAAGGGAGGGAGAGCCCAGGATGGCAGGAAGAGAGGGGAAAACCGATCCCTAAGCCAGTTCTTGGGAGGGAGGGGAAACCCAGGGAGGAAGGACTGGGGAGTGGGGGGGCGGGGGGATTTTGGAAGAGGAGAAGGCTTTTCTTGTCCCAAGAGAGAAGGGAGCACTGTCTGAAGCAGTGGCCCAGCTGGGGGTGTGCAACCCCGAGGTCACCCACTTCAAATGGCCTCTCTGTGTCTCTCCCATGGGGCAGACTCAGGGTTCAAAAGCCTTCTCTCTGCTCTTTGGCCGGCCCAGTTCCATCTCCCCTCTCCCCTCCATCCTAAGATGTCCCTATTCAGCTCTGCCCTCTTTCCCATGGGGCAGTTGGACCTTCCTCCATTCACTTCTCCCTACAGTTTCTCCCTAGAACACAAACGCACCCCCTCCGCCACCCCAGGCTCCCTATCCCTTCTCCGCAGAAAAACTGCAAGTGCTTTCACCCTCGTGACGCTGCCCTCACTGATTCAAGCTTGTCAGTTTGGGCTTTCCCACTGGGTGGGCTGGGGCGGGTCACACTCAGGAAAGGGAGGAAAGAAAAGGGGGCTGGAAATTCAGAGCCCAAGGGAAGGGAGAATGAGAAGCCGGGCACACCCTGAAAGAGACACACCCAGAGACGGCCTTTGCTGGGGCAGGATCTTTTGGGCTCAAAATGGAAAAGGAGGGCTCTGAGAAGGAAGGGTGTATGTGCAGAGCGAGGAAGGGTGGTGGCAGGAATTAACAAGAAAGAAGAGAGGAAGACAAGAAAACAGGGGTATAAAAAAGAAATAAAGACCAGAGTCCAAAGAGAATTGACAAGTGGGCTTCTAAGAAGTCTGGCTTGGCTGCTTCCCTACCTGTTTGTGGTGTCTTTCGGGGGACCCCTTGGCAAGGCAGCTGCGGCTGAGACGGAGGTAGCCCCCCAGAACCAAGATCTCCTCGGCAGTTGGGTACCGCTTCTTCCCAGCTCCTGGGACTGCAGCATCAGCTGTGGCTGGAGAGGTTGGGGTGGCTGGGGTCGTAGGGGGCACAGACCGCCGGGGGTTGACGGTGAAGGTGTGTCCACTGCGGCGGGGGGCCCCCACCCCTGGCCCTGCCTTCACCCCATAGAACAGGCGGCTCATGAGGGGATCCCCAGGAGGTTGGGGGGCAGTTGGGGCTGGGGGTGGGGGAGACAGAGGGGCTGGTGGTGGGGGCTGGAGTTCCACTGCTTCCTCTTCCTGCTGTCTCAGGCCTCCAGTCCCAGCGTCCTCTGGTGGGAGGGGGGAGGGCACAGAGCAGCAGTTCTGTAGGGCTCTCAGAGGCCTGCCCTGAGCTCCCGCCTCCTCCTTCTCAGCCTCCCCTTCTCCAGCCTCCACACTAGGAGATTCCAGACGCTTCTCTGCTGACTCTGAAGGTTCTGGTTTCTGAGTTTGAGCCTCTATGTCCCTGGGTGTCCATTCTCGAGCCTTCCCGGAGTTTAGGGTCCATTTCCACCCTTCTGCTGGCTTCATGCCCCTCTCGCCATCTTCCACAGGCCTCTGCTCTGCTGCCTCCATTCCTGTGGAACTGCTGCCTTGGGCCTCCCTTGTCAGGGTCTCGGACAGCTCTGCAGTCTCTTCCGGAGCCACCCCTGGAACTGGCCACTCTTCTTTTCTGCCACATTTTTCCGAGTAGCCTTGTCTTTCTTCTCCTGACCTCAGCCTCCACTCTGTTGCCTCCAGTTGTACCAAACTCTGTTCCTGAGACTCTCTGGAGTCAGGTCTCCATTTATGGGCCTCTGTCAGGCCCAACTTCTGGTAGGCAGATTCCCCTGGGCTCAGTCTACTTTCCACCTCTTTTCTCCTGGGGCTTTGCTCTCGAGACTCTGCTAGTCTCAGACTCCGCTCTGGAGTTTCTCCAGGACTCAGCCTCCATTTCCATGGCTCTGACAGTCGGGAGCTCCTGTCTCCCACCTCTCCTGGGCTTTGCCTCCAGTCCCGAGCCTCCAGAGGCCTCAGGCTGGACTCTAGGGCTCCCCCTATCCCCAGTCTCCTCTCTCTGGTCTCCCTGGGACTTAGTCTCTCTTCTCTTGACTCTCTTCCCTTGGGGCTCTGATCCCGCATCTCCCCAGGGCTGGGTCTCCGCTCCCGGGCCTCCAGAGGCACAGGCTTTCTCTCTGCTAGCAGCTCTTCACTCCTTTGTTGTTGCTGCTGCTGCTGCTGCCGCTCCTGCCGGATGAATCGGTTCTGGTGCACTGGCCCAATAGCCTCCAGAAGGACCGCAGACTCATCTGGGTCTGGAGGTCCAGCCTCTGCAGTCCCCGGCACAGGGCTAGGCTCCCCAGGGGACAGCCCAAGCTTGGCCCGGCGGCGCTCCAGGAGCCCTCGCTTCCAGGCTGGCATCTGGGACAGGCGCTCCCGTTCTGCTTTCTCCCGGCCTCGAACGGACGCCTCCTCCTGCCGGCGCCTGGCTAGCAGCTGTAGCTTCCAGTCTGGGATGGTGGCCATGGTCGCCTTGAGGTGAGGGTAGGGAGCACTGGGGGCAGAGAACAGGAAGGAGAGGCTCCAGAGAGGCCCAGGGGGGAGACTGAGGGTGGGAGGAGAGGAAGTGGAGGGGGAGAGGTGGGACACAAAGCAGGGCAGAGGGGCTAAGGATGAGGACAGAGGGAAAGAGGGAAGGCAGAGAACTGGGGAAATGGAAAAAGTGAAGAGAAGTTGTGAGCCCAAGTTGGGGGTGGTGGGGGTGATGTGAGAGGAAGAGTCCTGATTGGAGGCAATGAGGGCAGGAGCCAGATGTGGCAGTCAGGGTTAATGCGTATTAAAGACAGTCTCTAGGATGTGAGACAGAGAGAGAAGGGCGAAAAGGAAAGTTGGTGTGAGGGAGAAGAGAGAAATGAGGCTGGGGTGAGGGGAATCTGGGTGCAGGCCAGACTGCCTCAGCGATACCCCAGGGAGACTAGTGTGGGAAGGAAGGACCAGGAATCCCTGGAAGGACCAGGAGGCAACGGGACCTGAGGGGGTGTTGGGGAGGCAAGGAGGAGCGGAGAGCGAAGAGGTCTAGGGGAGAAGGGAAACCAAGGAAGAGGGGAAAGGAGCGCGGCGGCAGCAACCCGGCGCGTCTCAGCGCGGGCCCCAAAGGTCCCGGCTCCCCTTCCAGCACCGCTCGGGCCACGCCTCTCCCCAGCCCCCACCCCTCTGCCCCGCACTCCGCCCCCGAGGCGGGTCGGGGGAAATACCCACCCCCGGGACTTTCGGAACCCGGGCGTCAGGGCTGCCAGCGCGTTCCCAGAACCCTGGCGTCCACCCCCACCCTGTCCCGTCACCACCGCCTGCCTCCCCCACCGGCTGCGCCACGCGACCCCAGAGTGCCGAGGGCCGGCTCCATGTCTCTTCTCCCCGGCGCCTGCAAGTCCTGTGCCCCGTCCCCGCTCTCATGGAGCCGTGACAGAGCCGGCAGTCTCCACCCCGCTCTGGACGCACAGACTGACAATCTCGGCACAAAGAGGAGACAGCCAAGATCCGGGCCAGGGATGGGAGCAAGGACCGGAGCGAGGAGACACCCACTCCCCAAGTCTGAGCCCCTCAGTCAACTCACACGCCGCAGGACCCCCGCGGGAGGGGGTGCCGAGGAGCCGGGCGTCCGGAGAGAGGAAGAGGAGGAGAGAGGGACCGAGGGAGATCCGGAGACTAGAGGGAGGGGAGGAGGGAAGGAGAGGAGGGAAGGAGAGGAGGAGGGAAAGAGGCAGCAAAGGAGGTGGGACGGAGACAGAGACCAGGGGGCCGGGCGGGGGCGGCGACCGCTTTGTCTAAGGACAATGAAGAGAGGGATGGGGGCGCAGGGCGGAGCCGAGGAGAGGGCGGGGCCTAGCTCCCTCCCACCCCGCGTGGGACTCGCTCCGGGACTGCCCTGTTCTTGTCCCAACCCCTGGTCCTCCGCTGTGTCCCCAGGGGCCCTCACCAGCTTCCCGCCCGGACACCCCAGGTGTCCAGATCCCTTCCCCCAGCTCGCCGACCCAGGGCGGTGGCCCGTGACTCAGGCCCCTCGTGGGACTTTGGGAGGAAGCGGCAGCTGCTCGGGGCCGGGCCCGCCCTTCCCATCTCCTGCAGCTCCTCCCTACGCTTTTGCCTTCTCATCTGGGTCTGGAGGTCCAACCTCTGCAGGCCTTTGTTTTTGCGGGGTCGAGGGCAACCGCCAGGCTGTGGGGGGCCTTGTGGAGTGGGCGGCAGGAGAGGCGCTCAGAAACCAGAGGTTTTGGAAGCTCGCCCCCCTACCAGAGCTGCTGCCGGACTCTTTCTAGCTTCAACCTGTCTCCCTTGGGTCTCCAGGTCGGCTGCCGGGAAAAAGGGAATTTGAAGGAATGGGAATGGGGACCCGGCCGCTCTGGCAAAGTGGGGGCGGGTCGGCGGGGGGTGGCCGAAGCCCAGCGGTTGCCAGAGGGCGTGGTGGCTGCCCAGACTCCAGTTCGGCGCTCCCAGGCTCCCTCTGGCTTTCTTTTCCAAACTCAGCCCTGCAGCTTGGGAGACACTGACAGACTGCATGCCATATGTAGAAAAATCAGGCTGACTTTTATTTTCCTGCAGAGCATCTTCCTCGGGAGAGCAGGGAGCCCCAAGTCATCGAGTTAAGAGCAGGAGAATACCCTTGACTAGGTTGGGGTCTAAGCACAGAGGCAGGGCCTAAGGAGGTGCAGAGACTAGGACCAGGAGGGGTGAGGCAAGGTGTGGGGCCTGGAGGGACAGGTATGACCATTGAACTTGCAGACCCTGGTCCAGCTTCTTGGAGTGGAAGCCGGAGGTGGAGAAGGGGACCCCTGAGGCACAGAGGCAAGTAACAGTGCCAGGGGAATGGTCAGGGCAGATCCTTTCCTTCTCAGGAGGCTGCTGAGGGCGAAAGTGTCATGCCCTAAACAGTGAGGGGACAGATGAGTTCCATACCCTGCTCTTCCTTGCTAGTGAGAAGTGGACCTTGGAGTTCAGTGGCTGAAACTCAGAATTTAGGGTGTGGAGCTGGACCCAGAGAATAAAGTCTCAAGTAGTGGAAGGGGTAGCTCCTTCAGTCCATGAATTTGGGCCTCTGGCGTGAAGCAGCCATGGCCTGGATGTTAAGGATTTAGAATTCAGGGGGAGAGGAAGAACAGCGCTTGTAACCAGAGTGAGCTCCTCACTCTGCCTCCCCATCCTGGGGCCGAGAGAGCAGGTGGAGTTTTCTTTGTAGTTGGGCCCGGAGGTAGCGGAGGTCTTGCTGATCAAGCCCATGAGCCAGGCCCAGGTAGAGGGTAAGGAGGAGAGCAAGGAGGAGACGGTCCATGCCCAGGGTAGGCACCACCCACAGCACTGTCAGCAGCTCCACACACACTGGGTGGCGCAGGTGAGAGAAGAGTCTGAGAGCCCGGGGAGACTTCAGGGCCAGAGGCTCGCCCAGCCCCAGCACATGGTAGTATACCTAAGAGAGGGAGAAGAGTTTAGAAATTGAGTCAAGCCCTTTTCTCAGCTTGGGCGCTTCTTTCCTCCTCTTCCAGGCACCAGCCTTCTAGAACTCAGGCCCAGGAACCCCTCTTCTGAGACTTGGATCCCTGATCCTGACTTATGATCCATGTACCTTCCCCAGGCCCAGGAGGCCCATGGTTGCTGTCCTTCTGAGGGAAGGGTCATGAGGGAGAATCAAGGAGACAGTAGAAGAGCATGGGAGGAGGGAAACCCTTGAAAGGGAAAGAGTAGTTCTAAAACGGGTCAGAGGTCGTAGGTAGAGATCTCAGAGCCTCACCTGTTTGAGGCCCATGAGCTCAGCATAGTCAAAGACGAGAAGGATGCTGAAGATGAGAAGCCAGGAGATGACATGGAGCACAAAGCACAGGAGGGGCACCCAGGTGGCCCATGGCTCAGCCTGAGCTTCCCACAACACGGGGCCTCGGGGTACGGGCTCCCAGTACCGCATCACCAGCTGTGGAAGGATAAGGGGCTTCGTATCCCAGTGGCCTACCCTGTCCGACCTTGGGAGACCCAGATCCAGAGCTGCCCCCACCACAGGCTAGCCTGCAACTCTCCCCCACCTCTCACCTAAGCATCACCACCAAATATTCACCATGTGGAGGGTGCATGCTGGGTGAGGTCCCAAAGATGTAAGGATGGCCTGTCTCCACCCTGAGAATTTACAGAACAGATGGGGTGACCTGATAGCTACACCAAGTAGTAGCCTATGCCAACCACCCAATGAGAAGACAGACAAGGCCTCTTCAGACCTAGGGAAGTGGTTTTGAAGAAAGGGTAGGACTGAAGAGAAGGGATCTCAAGCAGGACATGAACAAAGTTGCAAAGGTGAGAATGCACGTATTGTGCTTGGGGAAGGACAAGTACACCCTTCTTGATAAAAACTAGGGTATGTGCTGTGGAGGAATGGAAGCTGAGATTAGTTCCTCAGTTCCCCTCCTGAACCCATATTTTGCCCCTCCAATCCAGGGCACCCCTCCCACACTTGGTCTCCCTTAGGGACTTCATACCTGCAAGGCCAGGGCCTCATACCTGCAAGGCCAGGGCAGTGCAGGCCACATACAGTGACCTCTGAAGGACCCCAAAGTACCGGGATGTCCATGCCTTCACTCTTTCAGCTGCCATGAGGCTGTGCTGCCCAACAAATAGAAGTAGGAGTCCCAGATCCCATGCCAGGGGGGCAAGGATGCTGCGGTCCTGCAGGGCAGCCAGCCATCCCTGGCGGGCATCTACAGGAAGTTGAGGGAGAAAGAGACAGAAGATCGAAAAGGTGGCAAATGTTTCCCCCATCCTCATCTCCTTTTGGAGCCCCAGGCCATGTCCCTACTGCTTTCAAGAGCTTTAATGCTTCCTCTCTAGGCTGTGCCCATCTCACTTTTCCATTCCTAGTTTCTGCCCTCTTCCCTAGGCCTCCTGCAAACCTAGGGGAGAGGATTTATAGAACAATGCATGTCAGGCAGTTGCAAAAAGCATGGCTGGAGAGGCCACCGCTGGATTGCCCCTCTTATTTCGGTTCTCCAAATGCTCCTTCTTTTTAACACTCTCAACAGCCCTCTCTACAAAACATTTTACTTAGAATACTCTGGTTATCGCCCTTTTCGGCTCCCTCAGTCCTCACTCTCCCGCCTCTCCAAAACTGTAATCCTTGAGTTCCTAATTTAGAACTCAGGTCTCCCTCCCCTGTAGCTTCTCGGCCGCTTTCAAGATTCGAGTTCCCTCTCTGGGACTTCCCCTGTCATTTGTTTCCAAGCCCCGCCCTCGATCCCTCGCCTACGGCTCCACCTTCCTACTCCCAGTTCATCCCCGATCCCTCCCGCTCACCCGGACCACCAGACTCCGGGATCCCTCCAAGAAGTGGCCGAAGGGAGGTAAAGCGCACGAACTCCACTCCGGTGCCAAAGGCCAGGATGAAAGAGGCGAGGGCAGCAGGGACCAGGAGCAGTGCAGGGGCCATGGCGAGAAATGGAGGGGTGGGGAAAGGGGCGGGGTCGGGATTCCCGCTGCCTCAGACCCCGCCCCTGCCCCGCCCCCGCCCGAATCCAGCCCAGGAAGGCGGGGCTCCTGCACGCCACCGTCCGGCTTCCGGCCCGCCGGGCGCAGCCTTCCCCACCCAGCTGTGGATCCGTCCCGGGATCCGTGTCCCAGCCTGCGGTCTCTCCGTCACGGAAGGGAATGTTAGAATCCCGAGAGAGAGCTGTTAAGGGTAGCGGCTCTGCAGCCGCTTACGTGGGTTAAATATCAGCTCGTCTAGTTTAACCATCCAAAATTAAAAGTTACTATTTTACCACAAAATACATTAATGTATGGAATACATTGTACAGAATACAGTGTACAGAATAAATTCTGTAACTTACTATAAAGTTGAGTTGTTGATTGGCTAGTTGCTAAGAAGGGCAAATAACTTCTCTGTAAATACTTAAAGGTTTGTTGTAATAGTGCCAGAGATTGTTGATTTGTAACCACGAGAGTAAAAATGTTAAAATATTTGTGATAGTAACCTTTGTCAGAATTAAAGATCATGCAGCTAAGGACCTTGTCGCAGTAGCTGTGCACATAGTAGGGACCTTAGATATCATTAGACTAATTCCATCAACTTATAGATAGAATAAACAGGTCCAGAGAGATAATTGCCTGTTAGGAAGCTGCTAATCCTGTAGGCTAAGGGACCAGAAAATTGCTGAGCAGCCTCTCGCAGGCTTTACATTCCTTCTCCCTCTCCTGGGCTCAGTACTCCCACCCTCCTCTGAATGAATGCTGTTGTATGCTGTACCAGACATCTTATGTTTTCCCTTGAATTCAGTCTCCACCCTGCTTTCTGCTTCAGGAAGTTGTCCCAAATGGACGGCATCAATGAAAGTCACAGTTTTTATTGAGAAAGTCCTCTTTACACGACTGCTCCACCCTCATCTTTTTGAGCTTGGAGGTGATCACAACAGAGCTGTGGGTACTAAGGCACTGCACTATGCTTTCTGATTTCCCTACACCCTGCCTACTTCTTTGTAATTATCATTTTATTAAACTCTTCCCCAAATTATCCTAATTTGACTGTGCTATTCATTTCCTGCTAGGACCACAAATAGAGACACTTGCCACACAAAGCAATGTGCTACAAGCTGTGGGGTTCATTGGAAGTGTAAGAGGCCAGACGCAGTGGCTTACGCCTGTAATCCCAGCACTTTGGAATCGCTTGAACCCGGGAGGTGGGAGTTGTGATAAGCTGAGATCTCGCCACTGGACTCCAGCCTGGGTGACAGAGTAAAACTCTGTCTCAAACAAAAAAAAAAAAAAAAAGGAGGCTAGGTGCAGTGGCTCACGCCTC